ATATGTATCTTTTCATTAATAAAAAATTAATCAACGAGATACATAGATAGGTCTCATAAATTGCTCTCCAACAACTAAGTTAGTCCTCATTCAATCTATCTAGCTACCTTCATAGATTGGTATACACTAACACACATCATATTAATTAATACAATTTTGGTTGAATTAGTAAGTACTCACTAAATTTAAAATTTGATATAAAGTCAAAAGAAAATAATTAATATACACTCAAGTTAATATACTTTTTAATACTTGTTTTGATTTAATTATTAAAATATAATATAAATATAGTCAATTTAAGCAATTCTTACATCTTATATACATTATTGTATTTTTTAAGTTTGTTTGCTTTCAAATTTAGATAAAAAATAATAATTTTTTAATAAATATATTATGTAATGTATTGAATCGAAATATATACCAATTAGTATACTGAAATATTACTATTGAATGGTACTTTCACAACCATATATACGTTCATGTACTGAATGCCACAACAAAATGAGGAGTTTCTTTGCACTTTTACACTTGTGTCTGTATTTGGTTTGATTGAAAAAGAATATATATTCTAATTAGTGATGTAGATTCTTTACAAATTTATCCCCTTGTCTAAGTGATTTAAGTTTCTAAGTACACTTATTTCTATCATGTGTGTTAGGTTTTTTTTGGAACATACGGGAACACAAGTATTTAAACTCTTGATTTTAATTTTAATTTTCGATATTAATTAATATACATTTTAATTTAACATACAACAAAACACACTTATTTTTAGATCACTTAGACAAGGGGATGAATTTATAAAGAATTTGGACTCTTCACTAATTAGAATATCTTTTTTTTCAATCAAACCAAATACAGACACAAGTGTAAAAGTGCAAAGAAATTCCTCATTTTGTTGTGGCATTCCGCACATGAACATATGGTTGTGAAACCATTCAATATTAATATTCCCAGTATACTAGCGACACTTATTTGTATTTTACTATAAAGTTTGAAGATAAAGGTTCAAAAACAAACAATGGACTTGTCATCAACTAATAATAGAGCCTTTTTTCAATTATTTTTAACTAGATTTTATAAGCTCGTGCATTAATTATGTATTGTAGGTAGTTTTGATCTATTTTCAATTTATGATTTTAAGTTTTTTTTTGATGAAATTATTACATTCTATTGTATATAAATTTATTATTAATTATAAATTTTCTCAAATGAGTGAGCTCCTAAAAATAGAAATTAGTCCTAAATCTTTGTATTTCTTTTTTTTTCTTTTTCCAAAAAATGATAGAACCTGTGCCCAACTCCTATCTTAAAATAGTTCTGCCCCTGAGGAAAACCTTGCTACTCTCCTCCCTCCATTCCTCTTATCTTATCCACCGTTTTCTATTTTTATATGCCCCTTGTTCCTGACGATAATGGGAATAATTGGTCATTTTTGTGACAATAAGATTTTGGACCCTTTTGGCAATAATATAAGTTTAGTACCTCTTAGTGACAGCGAGACTTTGGCGATTCCGTGGGGGGTTTTGTTAATTTGCTCCGTCGTTTGTTGCAAGTTTCCTTTGGTGCTCAAATGAACAAGTATTAGGGATGTAGAACAGTAGAAGAATTTGTGGTTTTTACCCGACTGAAAAAATATGGTTTCTGGTTTTGTGTAATTGACACTTTCTACTTCTGTAGAATGATCTAGTGTTCTGAAGAGTTATACAACCTCCCTAGCCAGAGTTATTAAGTTTTTGATTTTTGATTTTTATTTTTTGGTTTTCTTTTCAGAAAAGTGTTTTCACTCAAAATTGCGTTAAAAAATGCAGCTTGGAATATAAAAGGACCAAAAAAAATTTTAAGTTTGGTATTATAACACTTTTTTGGTATTTTAATTTTAAAAATATGAAAATTAAGATGTCCTTACATTTAAAATGTGTTTTATTTTTAAGATTCATTTAAAGAATAATTGTAATGAACATCTTAAAGTTCAGAATGTTTTGAGTGTCAAAACATTTTGATTTTTCGAACTCTCTTTTAATTTTTAATTTATATATTTTTTTATTATTTTAAAAATATATAAAATATTAATTAAAATAAAAATTAAATATATTTTTAAAATATTAAAAAAATCTAAAAACTAACCGTTACGGTTACATAACAGTCTCAAAAGTCAAAATACGCCGTAACTAATCTTATTACGTACCGACCAAACTGCTATGCAGTCTAATTTGAACACTTCAGATTTTTTTTTCCCCTCATTTTACTGTGCATAAGATTGGTGGTGAATCCAATAGTGCACTTCCTCACATCAAGAATAGTTGACTATTTTTTTATTTCTTTTGCGTACTGTAGAAGTTAGGATATCTTATTATTTTAAATAATAAGATTTTTTTAAAATTACTTAAATATTTTAAATAATTTTTTGAGTTAATATATTAAAAGTATTTTAATCTTTTTAATATTGTTCTAGATATTTTAATTATTAAAATATCATATTTTTTGCAATTCCTTTTCTTTAATAAAAAGAAAAATGTTATTTAATACCTAAATTTTATAATTATTAATTAATAAAAGTTGATATTTATCTTTAACTATTATTCTTTTTTTTCAAAATAATTCTTTTTTATTTTAAAATTTTCCTAAATTAATTGTCTATTTTATTTTTAAGATAGATAAATATTTTTTCTACTTTAATCTTATTATCATTATCTATTTACTTTAATTAATCATCTAATCATAAAAAATCTTTTTTTGTTTTTTTATATTTTTAAGGGTATTACATAGATAAATATAAATATTATCTCAAAATTCTTAATTTGAAAAGAAAAACAAATTATAGTTATTTTGAGATAGAGGAGTACAGTACATCTAAATAAACTTGTTTATTTTAACATTTGTCATACTTATTTCCTTTATTATAAGCGTAAGAAAAAATTAAAAATTAAGATATCCTTGCATTTAAAAAATCAATATTATTTATAAAACTATTGAAATATTTTTAATAAATCTTCCTCAAGTATTGATATATTTATTGAAAATATTTAAGTTTTTTTTTATTATAATTCTTAGCATTTTAACTATTATGATGTCTTAATTTTTTACAACTTAATTGTAAGCATAAAACACTTTAAATACTATCTTTTAAAAAAGGAGTGAATAATTAATTTTAAACACTGTTAATTAAAAATATGATAACTAATAACAAGTTTAGGTTGAGGAAAGAGAAATAGAGAAAAAAAAATTAGCATAATCAATCAAATACTTCATTCACCAAGATATTCAATCATATATAATTGTTGAATATATAATTATAATTATTAAATATATAAAACATAATATAAATATAATTTTATTTAATTTATCATATAATTATTATTAAATATACTAATATTTTCAATAATAGAATGTCCTTATTTTTTCTTTTTTCTTTTTTTTTTGAAAAAAAATTATTTTTTCTTTTCATATAAAAGTATTTGTCATTTTCAGTTATTTGCTATCAAACCCATTGAAATGAGTCATCCACAAATTAATGCACTATAAAGATATTTTCTCTTATATAATTCATAATAAATATATCAAAAAAATAAACTATAAAAATTCTTTTTTTGAAATAAAATAAAATTAAAAAATTATTTTTACAGCCTAAAATTTTAAAAATATATATATTTTACACTCTGATATAAGCTGAATTACAAAATAACATAATGTAATAAAATTCGACAAGACAAATTAAAAAAAAAAACTGCATTAATTATAATTTAAAATTTTGTATATATACCACCAGACACTGCAACTGATTGCTTGGCCATTTGCCTTCTCCATTTTTCCTGCTAAAATGCAGCGAATGTTTCCCGCGCCACTGGCTCCGCTGCTTCTCCTTCTCTTACTTGCAGTGTCTCCGGTCATTTGCTGGCGCCCATGGCCTCATCTCAAGGCCAACGACTCCGATTTAATCTTCGGTGGTTCCAAAAAATACGAGGGGTCATCGAAATTTGTTCACATGAGGTACCACATGGGTCCGGTCCTCACCACCCACATCAACGTCCACACAATCTGGTACGGGACTTGGCAGCGGTCTCAGAAGAAGATCATCCGTGAGTTCATTTCCTCAATCTCCGCCGTCGATTCGAACCACCCTTCGGTCTCCGGCTGGTGGAAGACGGTACAGCTCTACACGGACCAAACCGGCGCCAACATTTCCCGGACGGTGCGTTTAGGGAAGGAGAAGAACGACCGGTTCTACTCTCATGGAAAATCCCTCACGCGCTTATCCGTTCAGTCCGTGATAAAGAGCGCAGTCACGGCGAGAACAAATCCGTTACCGATAAACCCGAAAGGTGGGCTCTACCTTGTCCTCACATCTACTGACGTGTACGTCCATGATTTCTGCGGCCAGGTTTGTGGGTTCCACTATTTCACATTCCCGTCCATCGTGGGGTACACGCTCCCGTTCGCGTGGGCGGGTAATTCGGCGAAACTCTGCCCTGGTGTTTGCGCTTATCCGTTCGCCGTCCCGGACTACATCCCCGGGTTAAAGCCGCTAAAGTCACCGAACGGAGATGTTGGCGTCGACGGGATGATAAGCGTGATCGGTCACGAAATCGCCGAGCTGGCGACAAACCCGCTGATAAACGCCTGGTACGCCGGGCAAGACCCTGTGGCGCCCGTGGAAATAGCGGATTTGTGCGAGGGCATTTACGGAACGGGGGGTGGAGGATCGTACATGGGACAGCTTTTAAAGGGTAAAGATGGCGCCACGTATAACATGAATGGGATCAGACGGCGGTATTTGGTTCAGTGGGTTTGGAACCATGTGGTGAATTACTGTACTGGGCCTAATGCACTGGATTAGTAATTTTTTCTTTATTGTTTTCTCCTTTTTCTTTTTCTTTTTTTTTTTTTTTTGATTTTTTTGGGTAATTTTATGTTGGGATTTGGATATTGGTTTTGTGGTGGCTGTTGTCAGTTGAAGCAAAATTGGTAAAAATTATGTTTTAAGTTCCCAACTTTGTAATAGAGGGCTCCAAAGCCCCTCAAGTAATAACATAGTAAATAGGCCCCTTATCTAAAAGGAAATAGCAAAATGCCCACAATTAAACGTTGGGAAGCCATCTATAACCATTAAGGTTTTTGTTTGAGAATGTTTCTTAGTGTTTTAATTTTTAGTTTTAATTCTTTTTACTTTTTAAGAATATATAAATTGTTAATTAAAATAAATATTAAATATATTTTATATATTTTTAAGATATGAAAAGATTAAAAATTTATAACTATAATTATAGTTCAGCACTCTCAAACGAAGCATAAGTTATTTGGCATGCCATATTGAAAGGTGGTTGTTTGCATTATAATTATTTCCTAAACTATTTAAATTTAAAATGAAATAATTGGATTTTAATAATTAGTTCACCTTTTGGTATACCTATCTAATCTATCACTATCCTTAGTGTATATACTAAGAAAAATTAACGTATTATTTTAAAATAGAAAGAGTAATCATTAAGTAAATAGATAGCCTTTAATATGATAAAAGGTTGAAACTCTTTTCAACTTTGCTTATAATTGGGTTTTAGTTTGCACTTACAAAATTTTATGGTCGCTTTAGTGAAAGCAAATAAAAAACATCAAAGAGAATTGTTGTGGGGTTTTTAGGTTTTTGTTAGGAAGTAAAACGGGAAAAAAATCAAAAGATATTTACCTTAAATGTTATTAGACTTTTGATATTGTAAAAAAGGATATTATAAGATTTAATTTTCATGTCATCATTGAAATTGAAGAAAGAAAAAAAAATGCGCTCTCTCTCTCTTCCATTTTTTCTCCACACAACACAAAGTTTTCATTGCTCCTAGGACATCCTAAAATCAAATCCCCACTCTTTTTTGTTTGGAGAGAAGTTGCAAAATATGTACAACAGGAGCGTTTGTCCTTTCTTTGAAACCTTGCATAGAAATTCTAACATAATTTCTTTAAAAATGATTGAAATAAGGTTTTAAGTTTATGTACCAACCTTTTAAAAATTTAAATTTTGGTGATCAAATTGAAAATAATTATTATTACACTCCATCGGAGAGACGTTAACGAAATTTGTGCTAATATGCCGCACTCATTTACGTGAGAGATACGTACCCCCAAAAAAAAAAAAAAAAAAGGTAAGAGCTAATTTAAGGTGCAAGTGGATGGGATTTAGAAAAGAGAAGGTTACCCTTTATATTTTATAACATATAATTAAGTGTATTACAATTTTTTTTTTGTTTATTCTTAGT